GACCCCTCTGAGCCCCCCCAGGACCCCCCAGTGACTCCTCTGACCATCCCTTGGCCCCCCCAGAATCCCCTATAGACCCCTCTCAGTGACATCATGTGAGCCCCCCCAGGACCTCCCCCGGACCCCTCTCAGCCCCCTCTGAGCCCCCCCAGGCCCCCTCCAGCCCCCCAAGTGCCCCCCCTGAGCCCCCGTGCCCCCCAGGAGGCGGAGAGGAAGATGAAGGAGCAGCAGGACGAGGAGCAGCGCAAGAAGCAGGAGGAGGAGGAGAAGCAGCAGAAGGAGGAGGAAGGGGACGACGAGGGGGACGAGGACGAGGAGGAGGACGAGGAGCCCGAGGCCGAGCCCGACGAGGGCGAGGGGGGAGCCCCCCGGGACGAGCTGTGAGGGCCCCCCCGGGGGCCGTTCTGTCTCTGTGAGACCTTGGACTCTTTTCTACGGGAGCCGGGACCCCCCCGGGGACCCCCCGGAGTCACCAGAGACCTCCAGGAGCCCTGGGATAACCCCAGGGACCCCCCCGGAGCCACCAGGGACCCTGGGGATTCCCTGGGACCCCCCAGGACAACCGGGGGAGACCCCCAGGGGTGACCAGGACCCCCCAGGGGCCCCCTGGGAGTGACACGGGACCCACTGGGGACTGACGGGGACCCCTGGGAGTGACCCACCGGGGCCCCCCAGGAGCGAGCGGGACCCCCGGGGGGTGAGGACTCAGGACGGGGTGTGGGGAGGGGGTGCAGGGTGGGGGTCGCACGGGACTGTACGGGGGTGTCGCGATCCGGTTTCTATTAAATTAACGATCGTCCCGGCGCCGCTTCCGCCACTTCTTCGTCTGCTGAGCCCCCTCTGAGCATCCCCAGGACCCCCCAGTGACCCCCTTGAGCCCCTCCAGGCCCCCCCCCCGTGTTTCTTTTCTATGTCTCTTCATTTCCTCCTCCTTTTCATCTTTCTTTTCTGCTTCGTTTTCTTCATCCTTCTTCTTCATCCTTCATCTTTCACCACCCTGGCAAACCCTCCCCGTGGTGACCCCTATGAGCCCCCCCAGTGACCACTGCAAGCCTCCCCTGGACCCCTCGTTCATCTTCAGCTTCTTCACCTTCATCATCATCTCCTTCCTCCTCCTCTTCCTCCCCCTCCCCCGCCATGTCGCGCCCGCCGCCATTTTGTGCCGCCGCGCGCGCGCGTCACGTGACCGGCGGGAACCCCCCCCGACACGAGCGCGCCGCGCGCGCGTCACGTGACCATCACCCCCTATACGCTCCTTGTATCACGTGACGGCGGAGTCGAACTCCGCCCCCTTTTCCCGCGTCACGTGACGGGAGGGGGGGGAGAGGGAGGCAAAGGGCGGGAAGGCGCTGACGCCATTTCCGCGAGGGCGGCGGAAGCGGCGGGGCCGCCTCCTAAGATGGCGGCGGCGTGAGTTGCATGTTGTGGGGCCGCCGGGAGGAGCCGCCCCGAGCCCGCGCCCGTCCCGCCATGGCCGTGACCGTGACGCTCAAGACGCTGCAGCAGCAAACCTTCAAGATCCGCATGGAGCCGCACGAGACGGTGCGGCCGCGGGGAGGGGGGGAGGGCACAGCGAGGGGGAGGGGATGAGGCCTCGCCCCCCCCCCCCTTTCCCTTCCCGGCTGAGGGGGGCGCGGGGGGGGGGGGCCGGAGACCCCCGGGGTTGGGATTGGGGGGGGAAATAGGGAAGGGGGGGGTCACCCCACCCGCGGCCCGTCCCGGGGGTTCCGTGTCCTCACGACCCCGATCTGGGGGGGAACCGGGGGGCGTCGCCTGGGGGGGCTCCGTGACCCCCTGACCCCGATTTGGGGGGTTTATCCCCCGTTTCTGTGGGGTTTGTTCCACCTTTTTGGGGAGTGTCACCCTGAGGGGGCTCCGTGACCCCCTGACCCCGATTTGGGGGGTTTATCCCCCCTTTTCTGTGGGGTTTGTTCCACCTTTTGGGGGGGTGTCACCCTGAGGGGGCTCCGTGACCCCCTGACCCCGATCTGGGGGGTTTATCCCCCCTTTTCTGTGGGGTTTGTTCCACTTTTCTGGGGGGTGCCACCCTGAGGGGGCTCCGCGTTAATGGTGTTTTTGGGGGGCTGTTATTAGGGGTGTCTTCGAGGCTGTTCTGGGGGGTTTTGGGGGCTGTTTCTGAGGGTGGTTTTGGGGTATTTTTGCTGTGTTTTGGAGCTGGTTTGGGGGTATTTGGGGGCTGTTTTGGGGCTTGTTTTCGGGGTATTTTGTGTGTGTTTTCGGCGTGGTTTTGGGGCCGTTTTGGGGTGTTATAAACCTGACCACGTTTGCTTCAGGGGAGGGCCCTGAAGGCAAAGATCGAGGCCGAGTTTTTGGTGGTGTTTTTGGGGTATTTTGAGTGTGTTTTTTGAGTGGTTTTGGGCTGTTTCGGGGTATTTTGGGTCTCCCTGACCCCCCTGCTGCAGTCGAGGGCCCTGAAGGAGAAGATCGAGGCCGAGAAGGGCAGTTTCTGGGGTATTTTGAGGGTGGGTTTGGGGTGGTTTTGGGGTGGTTTCAGGGTATTTGGGGTGTGTTTCTGGGGCCGTTTCGGGGCATTTTGGGTCCCCCTGACCCCCCCCGGTGCAGGTGAGGGCCCTGAAGGAGAAGATCGAGGCCGAGAAGGGCAGTGAGGCCTTTCCCGTGGCGGGACAGAAGCTCATCTACGCCGGGAAGATCCTGAGCGACGACGTCCCGATCCGCGAGTATCGGATCGACGAGAAGAACTTCGTGGTCGTCATGGTGACCAAGGTGGGACCCCCCCGGGGGGGGGGAGGGGGGCTGGGGGATCAGGGGGGGATTTTGGGCTCCCTGGGAGTCGGGGGGGAATTTTGGGGGGGGGGGTCTGAGGGATCCAGGGGGCTCTCAGGGGTCTTTGGGAGGGATTTGGGGGGTCCCCGGGGGGGATTTTGGGGGTCTCTTGAGTGTTTGGGGGGGGGTCTCGGGAGGGTGGGAGGGGTTTTGGGGGGTCCCTGTGGCCGTGGGGGGGATTTGGGGGGACTCCAGGGGGTTCTTGGGAGGGGTTTTGGGGGTCCCTGAGGGGGCTGTGGAGGGACTCTGGGGAGTCCTTGGAAGAGTTTTTGGGGTCCTTGGGGGTCTGAGGGGCCTCTGGGGGGGTCCTTGGGAGGGTTTTGGGGGTCCCTGAGGGGGATTTGGGGGGTCCTTGGAAGGGGTTTTGGGGTCTGGGGGGTCCTTGGGAGGGTTTTGGGGGTCCCTGAGGGGGAGTTGGGGGGGACTCCGGGGGGGTCCTGGGGGGTCTGGGGGGATTGTGGGGTATTTTGGTTGTCTGGGGGGGGGGTCATGGGGCGGGTTTAACCCCCCCTAACCCCCCCTGACCCCCCCTCTCCAGGCCAAGTCCTCTCTGGGCTCGGCAGCCCCCGAGGGAGGGGCCCCCTCCGAGCCCCCCGCGGCCCCCCCGGGGCCCCCCCCGGCCGCCGACGCCGCCCCCCCCCCACCGGCCGCCCCCCCCAGCGAGGACCCCCCGGCCCAGGACCCCCCCACCCTCCCCGAGCCCACTGCTGGGTAAGGGGGGGCTTGGGGGGGCTGGGGGGGATTGGGGGGAGTTTGGAGGGTGGAACTGGGGGGGGGGGCATTCACTCAAATTTTGGGGGTGGGGGGGACAGGAGAGTGTTTGAGGGGGGGTTTTGGGGGGGGTCACAGGGGGTTTTGGGGGGGTCACAGTGGATTTGAGGGGATCACAGTAAATTTTAGGAAGGACACAGTGAATTTAGGGGAGGTCACAGCGAATTTTGGGGGGGTCACAGTGGATTTGGGAGGGACACAGTGGATTTGGGGGTGTCTCAGGGGGTTGGGGGGGCTGGAGCCCCCCGAAATCCCCAATTCCCAGCTGTGTCCCCCCCGTCCTGCAGCTCCGTCCCCCCCCCGGGCGGCTCCGGGCGCTCGGCCGACGCCGCCTCCACCCTCGGTGGGTCCTGGGGGGCTTTGGGGGGCTTGGGGGGCTTTGGGGGGGTTTGGGGGGGCTTTGGGGGTGCCCAGGAGTGAGAATGGGGGGGGTCTTTGGGGTTTGGGGTCTTGGTTATGGGGTAAAAAGGGGATATTTTGGCTCTTTTTCAACCCAGACAAAGTGAGGGAGGGTCTTTGGGCTGGAGGGGGGGGGGAGGTTTTGGGGCTGGGGGCTCTTTGGGGGTCCCATCCCAGCACTGATGGGGGGTGCAGGGACTGTAAATGGGGGGGTCCTGGGGCTGGGGGGGCTCTCCCAGCTGACCTGGGGGGTCCCAGTGACTGTAAAGGGAAGGGGGGGGGCGGTTTTGGGGTCTCTGGATCCTGGAGAGGGTCCCAATGGCTGGGAAGGAAAGAAGGGATGGTTTTGGGGTCTGTGGCCCCCGGGGTCCCTCCCAGCTGACCGGGGGGGTCCCGGGGGGTCCCCAGTGACGGGCTCCGAGTACGAGACGATGCTCTCCGAGATCGTGTCCATGGGCTACGAGCGCGAGCGGGTGGTGGCCGCGCTCAGGGCCAGCTACAACAACCCCCACCGGGCCGTGGAGTACCTGCTCACGGTGAGGGGGGGCCTGGGGGGGCTCAGGGGGGTCTGGGGGGGTCAGGGGGGGATGAGGGGGGCTCAGAGGAGCCTGGGGGGGTTCAGAAAGGCCTGGGAGGGGTCAGAGGGGACTGGGGGGTTCAGAGGGGTCTGGAAGGGTCAGAGGGGTCCTGGGGGTGCTCAGAGGGGTCCTGGGGGTGCTCAGAGGGGTCCTGGGGGTCTGTGGGTGTCCAAGGAGGGGGCAGTTGGGGGGGGAGGGCTCAGGGCCCCCCACCAGCTGCAACAACCCCCAGGGTGGGGGGACTGGAGGGTCTTTTGGGTGGGGGCTCAGGGGGGTCTTGGGGGTCAGGGTGGGCTGGGGAGGGGTGGGGGGTGTAGGGAGGGGGTCCTGGGAGGGTCTTCAAGGCTTCACACTGGGCTGGGGGGGGGTCCTGGGGTGAGGGGGGGTCCGAGGAGGGCTTGGGGGTGGGAGCTACAAACCCCCCCCCACTGCGCCACCGAGGACCTGCTCCCAGTGAGGGGGGTCCTGGGGGGGCTGGGGGTGTCCCTGGGGGGGTCCTGGGGGTGCCCCAGACCCCCCTGACCCCCCTGGGTGTGTCCCCCCCCCAGGGCATCCCCGGCAGCCCCGAGCCCGAGCGCCCGCCCGTGCAGGAGAGCCGCCCCCCCGAGCAGCCCCCGCCCGAAGGTGGGTCTGGGGGCACCTGGCACCGCCCAGGGGGCGTGGCCGGCACTGACCACACCCCTGGAGGCCCCTCCTTCTCCGTGGGTGGGGCCACACTCTTTGAGCCCCTCCCTTCTGGGGGGGGTGTCAAGAATCGCTGTGGTCCTTGTGGGGGTGTGGCCTAAATAGACCACACCCACTTCGGGACATGTCCTGTATAAACCACACCCCTTTGTGGGTGTGGTCTGGATAAGTCACACTAATTTATGGGTGTGGCCTGGGCTAATGACACCCCATTTGTGGGTGGGGCTAAGATAAACCACACCTTTTTGAGGGTGTGGCCTGAGCAGGCCACACCCCTTCTTGTGGGTGTGCCCCAGATAAACCACACCTCCATTTGTGGGTGTGGCCTGGATAAGCCACGCCTGGTTTGGGGGGTGTGGCTGAGGTGAATCACAGTTGTCTGGGCCACGCCCTTTAATGGGTGTGGTCTGTTAACCACACCCCTTTTTATGGGTGTGGCCTGACGCATGATTGACACTGAGGTGGGTGTGGCCTCACCACAAAGGGGTGGGGCTGAAGGAGGCCCCACCCACCCATCCCAAACATGGCTTGGCCGGTTCCTCCAGGTGAGAGTGTGGGCGTGGCTTAGCCAGGCCCCACCCCCTCACCTGCCGGCCCCGCCCCCAGGTGAGAACCCCCTGGAGTTCCTGCGGGAGCAGCCGCAGTTCCAGAACATGCGCCAGGTGATCCAGCAGAACCCGGCCCTGCTGCCCGCCCTGCTGCAGCCGCTGGGCCAGGAGAACCCCCAGCTGCTCCAGGTACCCCAAAACAGCCCCGGGACACCCCAAAAACACCCCAAAAACCACCCCTGGGACACCCCAAAAACACCTCAGAAACCACCCCTGGGACACCCCAAAAACGCCTCAAAAACCACCCCTGGGACACCCCAAAAACACCCCAAAAACCACCCCTGGGACACCCCAAAAACACCTCAAAAACCACCCCTGGGACACCCCAAAAACACCTCAAAAACCACCCCAAAAACCACCTCTGGGACACACCAAAACCCATCCCTGAAACACCCCAAAACCACCCCTGGGACACCCCAAAAACACCTCAAAACCCACCCCTGGGACACCCCAAAAATACCCCAAAAACCCTCCCTGAGACACCCCAAAAACGCCTCAAAAACCACCCCTGGGACCACCCAAACCCATCCCCAAAAACCACCCCTGGGACACCCCAAAAACACCTCAAAAACCACCCCTGGGACACCCCAAAAACACCCCAAAACCACCCCTGGGATACTCCAAAAACATCCTGAAAACCATCCGGGAGACACCCCGAAACCACCCCTGGGACACCTCAAAAATATCCCAAAAACCAACCCTGGGTACCCCGGACACCCCGGGACACCCCAAAAACATCCCAAAACCCACCTCTGGGACACCCCAAAAACATCCCAAAACCCATCCCTGAAACACCCCAAAACCACCTCAAAAACACCCCGAAACACATCCCTGAGACACCCCAAAAACCACCCCTGGGACACCCCAAAAACATCCCAAAAACCACCTCTGAGACACCCCAAAAACACCTCAAAAACCATCCCTGAGACACCCCAAAAACCCTCCCCAAAACACCCCAAAAACCCTTCCAGAGACACCCCGAAACCCAGCCCCCCCCCCCTACACACCCCACAAAACACCTAAAACCCGCCCAAAACCCCCCAAAAACCCCCCCTGAGACACCCCAAAACACCCCGAAAACCCTCCCCTAAACACCCCAAAAACCACCCCTGAGACACCCCAAAAACACCCCGAAAACCCTCCCCAAAACACTCCAAAACCCATCCCTGGAGACCCCAAAAAGCATCCCTGAGACACCCCAAAAACATCCCAAAAATCATTCCTAAGACCCCCCAAAAACACCCGAAAAACGCCTCAAAAACCATCCCTGAGATACCCCAAAAACACCCCAAAACCCATCCCTGAGTCACCCCAAAAACCCTCCTTGAGACACCCCAAAAACACCCCAAAAACCATCCCTGAGACCCCCCCAAAAACACCCCAAAAACCCTCCTTGAGACACCCCAAAAACACCCCAAAAACCCTCCCTGAGACTCCCCAAAACCAGCCCTGAGATCCCCCAAAAACACCCCAAAACCTCTCCCTGAGACACCCCAAAAACATCCCAAAATCCCTCCTTGAGACACCCCAAAAGCCCTCTCCAAAGCACCCCAAAAACACCCCAAAACCTCTCCCTGACACCCCCAAAAAATACCCCAAAAACCCTCCCTGAGACCTGCAAAAACCCTAAAAGCCCTTCCTGAGAATCCTCAAAAACACCCCAAAAAGCCACCCCTGAGATCCCCCAAAACCCTCCCTGAGACCCCCAAAAAGACCCCAAAAACCCTCCCCGAGACTCCAAACCCCCCCCAAGATCCTTAAAAAAACCCACCCCCGAGCCCCCAAATCCCCCCCGAGCCTCCAAGTTCCCCCCTGAGACCCCAAATCCCCCCCTAGACCCCAAATATCTTCCTGAGACCCCAGAAATCCCCCCCAGACTCCAAAAATCCCCCCCGAGACCCCAAAATACTCCCCCGAGGCCTCCAAACCCACCGAGACCTCCAAAAACCCCCCAGAGATCCCTAAAAAAACCCACCCCTGAGCCCCCAAATCCTCCCCCTGAACACCCCAAATAACCCCCCAGACCCCAAATACCCCCCCAGACCCCAAATATTGTCTTGAGACCCCAAAATCCTCCCCTGAGGCCTCCAAACCCTCTCCCTGAGATCCCTAAAAAACCAACCCCTGAGCCCCCAAATACCCCCCCAGACCCCAAATATGCTCCAGAGCCCCCAAACCCCCCTGACCCCCCCAAATCCCACAGCAAATCAGCCAGCACCAGGAGCAGTTCATCCAGACCCCAAACCCCCCTGACCCCCAAAACCCCCCCCGAGCCCCCCCTGCACACACACTACCCACTCTACCACTGTCCCGAAGACCACGTGTGTCCGCTGATATACACCACAGTCCGCACACACAGTGTGCACACCCCCTCCATGTCACGGCATACCCGTGTTCAAATTTGTTTTATTTATGTCGACACCAACCCCCGACCCCCCCGGACCCCCCCAACCCCCCGACCCCCCAAACCCGAGCAAAATCAGCCAGCACCAGGAGCAGTTCATCCAGATGCTGAACGAGCCCCAGACCCCAAACCCCCCCTGAGCCCCCAGCCCCCCCTGACCCCCCAAACCCCCCCTGACCCCCCCAAATCCCACAGCAAATCAGCCAGCACCAGGAGCAGTTCATCCAGATGCTGAACGAGCCCCTGGGCGAGCTGGGCGAGCTGGAGGGGGAGGGGGGGGCCATCGGGGACGAGGCCCCCCAGATGAACTACATCCAGGTGACCCCCCAGGAGAAGGAAGCCATAGAGAGGGTGAGTGGGGGGCCGGGGGGGGCCCGGGGGGGCCCGGGGGGGTGGGAGGGATTTGGGGGACCAGGGTTAATTGGGGAGAGGGACCAGGGTTAATTGGGGGGGGGACCAGGGTTAATTGGGGGGGGGGGACCAGGGTTCATTGGGGAGGGGGGGAAACAGTGTTAATTGGGGGGGGGGACCAGGGTTTATTGGGGGGGGGGGACCAGGGTTACTTGGGGGGTGGGTCACCAAAAGAAGGCACAGAGAGGGTGAGTGGGGGGCCGGGGGGATTGGGGGGGTCAGGATTGAGAGGGGGGTGAGGAGGGGGGGGGATTTGGGGGAAACAGGGTGGGGAAGGGGCAGGGAGGGGGGACCCGGGTTAATTGGGGAGGGGGGACCAGGGTTAATTGTCACCAAAAGAAGGCACAGAGAGGGTGAGGAGGGGGCAGAGCTCAGTGTGACCCTGGGGGGGTCCCAAGGCCCCCCCTGAGCTCAGTGTGACCCTGGGGGGGTCCCAAGGCCCCCCCTGAGCTCAGTGTGACCCTGGAGGGGTCCCAAGGCCCCCCCTGAGCTCAGTGTGTCCCCCCCCCATAGCTGAAGGCGCTGGGGTTCCCCGAGAGCCTGGTCACCCCTGGGGGGGTCCCAAACCTCCCCCAGACCTCAGAGTGACCCCTGGGGTGTCCCAAACCCCCCTAAGAGCTCAAAGTGACCCCTGGGGGGGTTGTAGCCCCCCCTGAAGCTCAGAGTGACCCTGTGGGGGGGTCACACCTCTCACTGTGCCCCCCCCTTTAGCTGAAGGCGCTGGGGTTCCCCGAGAGCCTGGTCATCCCTGGGGGGGGTCCCAGACCTCAGAGTGACCCCTGGGGGGGTCCCAAGCCCCCTGTCACCCCCGGGGGGGGGGTCACACCTCTCACTGTGCCCCCCCCCTCGCAGCTGAAGGCGCTGGGGTTCCCCGAGAGCCTGGTCATCCCTGGGGGGGTCCCAGACCTCAGAGTGACCCCTGGGGGGGTTGTAGCCCCCCCTGAAGCTCAGAGTGACCCTGTGGGGGGGTCACACCTCTCACTGTGCCCCCCCTTTAGCTGAAGGCGCTGGGGTTCCCCGAGAGCCTGGTCATCCCTGGGGGGGTCCCAAACCTCCCCTAGACCTCAGAATGACCCCTGGGGGGGTCCCAAATCCCCCTAAGAGCTCAGAGTGACCCTGTGGGGGGGTCCCACCTCTCACTGTGCCCCCCCCTCGCAGCTGAAGGCGCTGGGGTTCCCCGAGAGCCTGGTCATCCCTGGGGGGGTCCCAGACCTCAGAGTGACCCCTGGGGGGGTCCCAAACCCCCTGTCACCCCCGGGGGGGGGGTCACACGTCTCACTGTGCCCCCCCCTTTAGCTGAAGGCGCTGGGGTTCCCTGAGAGCCTGGTCATCCCTGGGGGGGGTTCCCGTCCCCCCTCCCACCCCAGTGTGACCCCTGGGGGGGTTGTAGCCCCCCTTGAAGCTCAGAGTGACCCTGTGGGGGGGTCCCACCTCTCACTGTGCCCCCCCCCTCGCAGCTGAAGGCGCTGGGGTTCCCCGAGAGCCTGGTCATCCTGGGGGGGTCCAGACCTCAGAGTGACCCCGGGGTGTCCAAACCCCCTGTCACCCCGGGGGGGGGGGGTCCACACGTCTCACTGTCCCCACCCTCGCCGCTGAATGGCCTGGGTTCACGAGAGACTGGTCATCCCTGGGTGGGTCCCCAAACCCCCCCTAAGAGCTCAAAGTGACCCCTGGGGGGGTCCCAAGCCCCCTGTCACCCCCGGGGGGGGGGTCACACCTCTCACTGTGGCCCCCCCCTTTAGCTGAAGGCGCTGGGGTTCCCCGAGAGCCTGGTCATCCCTGGGGGGGTTCCCGTCCCCCCTCCCACCCCAGTGTGACCCCTGGGGGGGTTGTAGCCCCCCCTGAAGCTCAGAGTGACCCTGTGGGGGGGTCACACCTCTCACTGTGCCCCCCCCTCGCAGCTGAAGGCGCTGGGGTTCCCCGAGAGCCTGGTCACCCCTGGGGGGGTCCCAGACCTCAGAGTGACCCCTGGGGGGGTCCCAAACCCCCTGTCACCCCCGGGGGGGGGGTCCCACTTCTCACTGTGCCCCCCCCTCGCAGCTGAAGGCGCTGGGGTTCCCCGAGAGCCTGGTCATCCCTGGGGGGGTCCCAAACCCCCCCTAAGAGCTCAAAGTGACCCCTGGGGGGGTTGTAGCCCCCCCTGAAGCTCAGAGTGACCCTGTGGGGGGGTCCCACCTCTCACTGTGCCCCCCCCTCGCAGCTGAAGGCGCTGGGGTTCCCCGAGAGCCTGGTCATCCAGGCCTACTTCGCCTGCGAGAAGAACGAGAACCTGGCGGCCAATTTCCTGCTCAGCCAGAACTTCGACGACGACTGAGAGACCCCCCCCCCCAACCCCCCCAGACCCCCCCTCAGTCCTGGGGGGGCCCCCCAAGCACAGGGGGATCAGTTTTTCCCCCCTCCCTCGCCCACCCAACCCCCCCAATCCCCGGGAACCCGGGGATGGGGGGTTGGGGGGGCGAGGGAGGGGGGTGGGAAGCCCCCCCAGCCACCCCCCACCCCCCCTCCTAAAACCTTCCCCCCTCCCTGTCATGCACGGGGGGGGGGGGCGGGGCGGGGGGGGGGTGGGCCAGGGGCCGCCGCAGGAACAACCAAAAAAAAAAAATTAATAAAATAAAAATAAAAAAAAAACGGCGGCAAAAAAAAAAACACCCAACAAACAAACAAACAACAAAACAAAAAAAAATCGATTAAAGGCAGAGTTTTAAACCCGTTTTTGGGGGGTGTCGGGGCATGATTTTTTTTGGGGGGCGGGGGGGTCTCTGGGGTCAGGAGGTCACCCCTGTTGTATTTGGGGAGGGGGGGGGGGTCCCAGAACTTTTTGGGGTGGGGGGGTCAGGAGACACCCCCTGGCACTCCTGGGGGGGGGGGTCCTGGTGCTCTCAGGGGGTCCCCCCCCTCGGTTGGGGGCCGGGTCACAGTTTGAATTTGAGGGGGCTAATGGTTATGGACCATCACATCTGTTATTTCGGGGGGTTTCTGACCTCCTGGCGGGCGCCGCCGGTCCGACCCTAGCACTCTGGGGGCGGCGTTCTGAGCACTGTAAGGGCGGTTTCCCCAGAACTGTTGGGTTGGGGCCTGGGTCCGTGGAGGGGGGTTGTCTAAGGGAGGGGCCCCCCCGTTCTTTTGGCGGGGGTGCTCCCAGCATCTTTAGGGGGTTATGATGCGCTGTTTCCAGGGCTTGGTAGATACTGGCGTTGGGGTTCTGGTTGTAAGGAGGTGAAACCCGTTCTTTTGGGTTCCTTCCCTCTCGCGCTAACGGCACTGAGGGCGGGGGTTTTTGGTAAATGTCGGGGGTTCTCTTGGGTTTTTCCGTTGGTGGCAGGATGGTGCCCACACCACGTTCCTTTCTGCGGGGGGGGCAGTGGCACTCTCGGGTGGGTCCCTGAGCACTGCTGTGGGGGGGGTAAGGCAGGTCGCCACACGTTCTGCTGGTCGGGTCGGCTCCCGGCACTCTCGTGGTGTTTGGTTCTTTGACATTTGTATGGGGGTGTTCCCGGTGTCAGGAGGTGCCCCCCGTTCTTTTAGGGGGGGTCCCTTTGCTCTCGGGGGCGGTCCCGGTCCCAGCCCCCTCGGGGGGGGTCCCGGTGCCCTCCGGGGGGGTCCCCGGGGGGGTCCTGGCTTTGGCCGCCGCCTCGGCCGCCGCCAGCGCGCTCCGAGCCGCCTCCTCCCGCTCCTGCCGCCGGCGCCGCTTCTCCTCCCGCCGCTGCCGCCGCTCCAGCTCCTCCAGCAGCTCCTGCGCCCGCGCCGAGCCCCGCCCGGGGGGCCCGGCCCGGGGGAGCCCCCCCAGCCCCGCCTCGGCCAGGAGCCGCTGCCGCCGCGACGCCTCCGCCCGCGCCCGCGCCCGGGCCTGCTCCCGCTCCCGGCGCCAGGCGGCCACGCGGGCCGGCATCTCCGCCAGGCTGCGGGCAATCAGCGCGGCCCTGGGGACAGGGGACAGGCCCGGGTCACCACGGGGTCACCACGGGGTCATGGGGACACCCCCGGGTCACCACGGGGTCACCACGGGGTCATGGGGACACAGGGACACCAACACCGGCATCTCCGCCAGGCTGCGGGCAATGAGGGCCGCCCTGGGGACAGGGGACAGGCCCGGGTCACCACGGGGTCACCACGGGGTCATGGGGACACCCCCGGGTCACCACGGGGTCACCACGGGGTCATGGGGACATAGGGACACCAACACCGGCATCTCGGCCAGGCTGCGGGCAACGAGGGCCGCCCTGGGGACAGGGGACACCCCCGGGTCACCCCCGGGTCACCCCCGGGTCACCACGGGGTCATGGGGACACCCCCAGGTCACCACAGGGCCAGGCCTGGGTCACCCTAAGGAC